CCTGGTGGGTCGGCTGCCGGTGCCCGGGTCCCGTCAGGGAGAGACTGCTGGAGCGCGTCGGCCCGGCGCTCGTCTCGGCCGTCCTGGGGTTTGACGCCGCTGCGAGCAGACCCGGACGCAGGCGAACGGCTGCCGCTGCCCCAAGCCCCCCCGTTAGTGCCGGTGAGGCCCCCGTAGGGAAACCAAGCAGGCAGCACCGCCCGGACAGCGAGTAAACGGGAGGCCTCGAAAGGGAGACGCGTCGCAGCCGCTTGATGCTTGCTGGGGGGAAATAATTGCAAAAAAAAAGCTTGGGGACTTCACGCCCGGCTTTCGCGTTTTGATAGTTTTCTGATTACGTGGGCTATGCATAGTGGGATGTCTTTGCTGCTCCTTGCTGCCGAGGTGGTAACGCAAAAATGAAAAGGCTAAACTGTTTTCACACTATTTGGATCCAGTCAGTGGACTAATAGTAGTGAAAATACCATCAAGTACACTGGGATAAAAGGAAAATATTCTTTGTGTGATTGTTATTTTTGCAATACATTCTTGGACATTACCAGTAGCACTAGATAGCACACTAGTACATTTCCAGCAAAATTATAATTTCTTTTTAAAGCTGGCAGCATCCCTTTAATGTCATCATTACACTAAATGAAAGGTCTTACACTTACCTGGCTTAGGGGTGTTGCTGATGGTATTTTTCAGAGCTGCTAAACACCAACAACTGAAAATTGTTGCATAGCCAGTGTTAACACAGCCTCGCATAAAGAAAAATAACTTGTGAGGTGCTTTCACAAAGTATATATAGTGTATATTTTTTAGGCTGAAATAATAAAGCAAATGAAATGACATGTTTATGTCATGAAAGGCAGGGAGAGGATTGGAGAGGCTTTTCTCTGTTGCTGGAGTCACATGATTTTTCATCTTATGAAGAAATAAGATCTTGTACATTTTACATGAGCACGTTTCACAGTTAAATGGCAAATGACTGTTGCATTAATCATTTCAGCTAGTTTATTACAGTAAATATTTGGAATATACTCTTTAATGGAGGCCAAGCACAAGAACATCGCAACAAAAAAAATATTAGTGGAAACCTGCATTGCCCCATTTTTTAAGAGGAACAAATGCAATTTACAAATGCAATCAGCTTAATTGCAGAAGGAATTAATAGGGTTTCTCTGCAGAGATGGTGGATTCTTTCTGATCAGAGAATATAAATACAGAGAAAGTTATACTCACATGTGAAAATCTGATAGCTATACAATATGCTGTCTATATGAACAAAATGACTTTTATGAATCCATGGCATGTTTCTATAAAAATGCAGTAAAGAAAACTTAACGAACTGTGGAATATTTTTGCTATGAAAATAAATGCTTTGTGGTCCTTTAAAAAGTTAGGTATCCTAAAATAAAATAAAAAATATCCATCACTGCACATCCCAGATCTCACAGAGAAGAGGCGTGAACTTGTGATCATTCACTCTCCATGACATCAGCATCTCTGCATGATGATGGTTAAATGTCCGTAATTCCGTAAGACGGCCCAGTAGACATGCAAAGTGTTGAGGGTTATCTGGGTGGTGAAGTTTGCAGAATTTCTGTAGAACAGCCAGGAGGGGTTCTTGAAGCCTTTCCACAGATTCTCTGTCCTTTATGTATTGTCGATCTGGTTATGGTTTTAAAAGAAAAGTAATTAGCCAATATATGCTCCGATTCGGTGTAAAGATTTTCACATCATTGGAAAGCTACCACTTGCAGGCTATGGTATCTGCTTATTTTCTCCTCAATAGGCAGTGATGTTCACACCTACCGAGAATACTCTTTTTCAAGTTAAGAGGGAATAAAAGTGCCTTAACATTGTAATCTTGGTTCAGGGTCTGGTTCATGCAAGCTTCCCACTTTGAGCTAGAAATAGCTTTCAACTTTTTCAAAAACTAAAGGGCTTCAACCGGGAAACATTTATCTGGGATTATACCGTCACCTCACAGGGTGGTTGTGTGCCTGAGTATGCCCTATGATGCATTGCAACAACTTAGCAGCACAGTGTGTAAATTCGTGGAGATGTGGTACAACCAGGGAGAAGTAGAGGGGCAAACAAGAAGAACGTGCATATAGGTCACCAGGAAGAAATTGAACATCTTGATCCTCAGGTGAAAACCCTTTTCTTTTGTTAGAAAAAACTTCATTTTGTTCCTATGTAAGTATGTGTCTGGATATTTGGAGGGAGAGGAAAAAAAGAGGTTGGGATTTTTAGTCACTGAAATTTTTAGCATACAAATTTTTCCTGAGAAGAGCCACGGAATTTCTTAACTTTTCCCATCTTCCATGAAACCTTATTTGGAAACCTTAGTAGCTCTCTCGTGTCCTGAAGCATCAGGCTTCTCTTCTCTCATTCCTGTGAAAGTCAGTTTGCTTGAGGCACTACAGTTTCTCCATATTTTCTGGGTGGAGCTGATTAGTTTTGTGCCACCAAAGGATTAGTTTCTACAACTACGGCCAATAATCCGTAGGCTCAGGGCTGAGACTCTGCTATGCTGATACCACAAAAAGGTGAGTCTCCAAGGCTTTATAGACTAAAGGACAACTCACTATGTCCTGCTGCTCTTGCCAGCTGGTATTTATACACTGAAGGCTCAAGACCTTTGTTGCCATTCCCCTTTCTAATGTGTAGGATTTCCCAATATTCGACTGAAAGCGTGATGTTCCAGCACGCAGTGTAGTGACATACCTGTTACCACACCTGGGATCTTCTGAAGGAGGGAGCCCTTTGTGCTGCGCAGTGCTAAGGTACTAGCAATTCTCTGAGCAGGTACATAGGCACTTTTCTCTTTGGATACAAAACCAGATGGTGTAGCAGGACATTTAGAATTTGGATTTGTTTGCTTGTTTTCTGTTTTAACTTCTACATATACTGATTTTCTGGTTTAACTGCTGCATACACTGAGTAAGCATGCATGCTCACTCACCGTGTGCAGAATACAAATGTTTGACACTTCTCAAGTCACACACCTAATGCTTTCTTTCCAAAACCATTAATATGTGATTCTGAATTAAAGTTACCTGGAGATAGGATAACTATTGCTGTGAGCAGAGCATATTCTTCCTGTGTCATCTTCAGCTCTCCAATGCTTTTATAAAAATTAAACATGGGAGTTATGAATTCGTCTGAGATACCTGTGGGGAAAAAAAGCAATAATTTTTTTTTTAATTATTCAAATAGTGTGATTTATTGCCACTGAGCAACTAGCTAATATTTGGAGCCTTGACGATTTGTGTTTGTGGGAGAAATTTACTACACAAATCAGGTCTGATGCAACACAAGTAGTTACAAAAGTACAAGCACATTCTTGTTTCCCAGAACACAGCAGAAACAGGCAAGTGCTGGCGATTTCTTTTCACATGGTTTCAAAGTCTTTCAGGTCCTTTTCCTCTGCGGGTTTGTCCTTCTGCACTGTTCAGGACAAGTCTCATATGCATTTTTATCCTGTCTGTTGATATTCCGGTCATCTTCCATTCCCAGAGTGCACAGTTTGTCCAGCAATTCCCACATTCCCTATGGTTACATTAGTTATACAGAAACCTTCCAGGGTGTATGGTTTAATTCTATCTCAACTTCACTCTTCAGCTTACTGCCTTGGGCAGTTGCTTCAGTTATCTCCATAAAGAGACTTAATTGCTCCTTTTATTTAGCCTGAAACTTAAGCCACGTCTAGGATTACCTGTAGTCCAAGATCAACTTGCTTGCAACTACCACTACCTTCCAGCATAAACTAGTATATTATAAAGTATGGAGCCATAAATAATTAAAATGCAGCCCAGTTTAAGTTGGGATCATGTGATTCTCTTACCATCAGCAAAATCCTTTGGGGATAGTGAGC